ATAATCAGATTTAGCTCTTGCATAATGTATGTTTAATTCCACAGAAACGAGAATATCTTATTACAAATGGTAAATGTACCGTGTTTGAGCTGAATAATCCAATCAGAGATCCATGTATTCCAGGTAGCTATAAGATTTTAGAAATTAGTACCAGTTTAGATTACTTTAGAATATTGAAACTGACAGTGTAAACTTGTACATTTTTTTTCTTCACTTGTGATGTTATATGTATTCTAAATTCCGGCGTACATTGCCCCTTCATATCTAATTGGTTTGGCCCCATAGCTATAGGTTGCGGCGGATGTTGATATTATTATAATGTTTGTATTTGATTTGATATTTTAAATGTTTATATTGATTTGATATTATTATAATGTTTATATTGAATTGATATTATCAAATGTTTATATTGATTTAATATTATTATAATGTTTATATTGATTTGATATTATTATAAAGTTTATATTGATGTGATATTAAATGCTTATATTGAGTTGATATTATTATAATGTTTATATGGATTTGATATTATTACATTGTTTATCTTGATTTGATATTATTAAAAGGTTTACATTGATTTGATATTAAATATTTATACTGAGTAGATATTATTAAATGTTAATATTGTTTTGATATTATTAAAATGTTTATATTGATGTGTTATTATTAAATGTTTATATTCTAGCTAACGCCACTTATCTAAGATCACTAATATACGGATATGGAAGCAACACATTAGAAGCTGATACATGGGAATACATTGCACCTGCTACTGGTGCCTTAAATAGACTCTCTGTTACTAAAGATTCTTGTGTCCCCCTTGTTTTAGCTCAATATAATCCCCACGCACCCTTCTCAGGTAATCTTCTCATTCTGAAAAATGATACTATTTGCTCTACGAATGCCTGATAACTGTTTTGTATTTTTCACTCTGTACTTCATGTAACGTGAACTGTTGGTATACCGTTGTTAGTAGGCAGATAACTATCTCACCCAATTCCCGCATCTGAACCCGAAGAGAACTGCGCGAACGGCTATCTATATGATACCATTTAAAGGACAATATTGGTGCCAGTCATTACAACATATGTGATAGAACTGTTAAACACGTTCCAAATATTATTTTATCACAGAGATCATTGCTGCGATAGATGCGTAATCAATGTTTCAACAGTCGGAAGTGACGAATGCAAAAGGAAAACACGAGTTATCCCCCTATATAACTGACTGAAGTGACGAGTGATAACAGATACATGGGCGAATTTCTTCTCACTGATAATTCCTTCGAAGACCAAAAGTTGTTGTGTGAGACTGTGAAAGGATATCTGACAATTCATAAAAAACTTGATTGTCTCTAGATAAGAGAACATGAAAGAAAAATAGAAAAAGTCCGTGCATTACCATGTTTTTATAAATATAGAATGAATAAAAACACGTGAATGTACGGACTGTTTCTATTTTTCTCGTGTTCTCTTATCTAATGACATTCAATTACTTTTTTGAATTGTCAGATATCCTCTATCGGTCTCATGTAACAACTTTTGGTCTTCGAAGGAATTATTAGTGAGCAGAAATTCGCCCATGTATCTGTTATCACTCGTCACTTCAGTCAGTTATATAGAGGGATAACTCTTGTTTTCCTTTTGCGTTCGTCACTTCCCATTGTTGAAGCATTGACTAGGCACCTATAACAACAATGGTCTCTGTGATAAAATAATATTTGGAACGTGTTTAACCAGTTCTATCACATATGTGATAATGACTGGCACCAATATTGTCCTTTAACATCATTTAGAGCATTCGAGAAAATATTATCAGTTGGTTAACAGTCAGATATGGTTATGTCGAAATTCAGACATTGCGACTTTAACATTGTGATTTAAGCACAATGGCGCGGGAACTAAACGACTTCTGTTATTTAATTGTTTTCAAATTATATATGATTTTAATTTTAGGTAATTTAACCCAGACAGATCTAGTTCTTATATACAACAATTTTCGTATTGGTATCAAAGATAGAAAAGTGTTCAGTGTACCCGACTCTTGTACTAATCAGCCAGTTCAGGTAAAACATTATAGTCCCTTTATTTGTGATAATAGATGATTTAAGTTGTTAGTAAATTTAATTTTAATATGGGAACGAATGCATCTCGTGTAAATTATATACATTAATTTTCTGTGGTCAGAATAATGGGGCAATTCTGTGACTGGAACGCCTTGGGCTCGACTCCTTATGTGAACAGAGAAGAAAGTGTGTTCGCAAAGAAAGAATATTTTCAAGTGTTTGAACGGGACGAGAGACTGCGACCAACTGCTGTAAGGCCCTAACTGTCGTGATCCACGGAGAATTTTATAAATAACCATAGCTTGTTTACGAGAATTAAATAGTCTTGTCGTCTCTTTCAATCGGCAGGATGTCTAGAGATAACACAACCTTAGTCAAAGCCGAAACTTGCGAGATGTTTCGTGTGATATTCAGTTTTCCTTTATGTCTATACTTGATTGGTTTCTTTTATTATTTTCAGAAACCTGTTGGCACTCCAATTTTTTAAAGAATAGATGATTATATGAGATTCATATCTATCAATTAAAACTTTTATCCTACACCTGTGTTTTATTAATCGCGTTTTAAAACAATTTGCAAAGAGTGCACCTCTACCCATTGGCGATGTCATTGACTTAAAGGACAATATTAAAACACATTCCAAATATAATCTTAAGACAGAGATCATTGCTACGATAGCTGAGTAATACAGGTTTCCTGCATCGGAAGTGACGAACGCCAAAGGAAAACACGAGTCATGCCTCTATATAACTGACTGATGTGACGAGTGATAACAGATACACGGCCGAATTTTTGCTCACTAATAATTCCTTCGAAGATCAAAAGTTGTTATACGGGACTGTAAGAGGATACCTGACCATTCAATAAGGTAATTGAATGTCATTAGATAAGAGAACGCGAGAAAAATAGAAATAGTCCGTACATTCCCTTGTTTATATCCATGCTATACCTTATAAAAACATGGTAATGCACGGACTTTTTCTGTTTTTCTTTCGTGTTCTCTTATCTAGTGGCAGTCAATTCTTTTTATGAATTGTCAGATATCCTCTCACAGTCTCACACAACAACTTTTGGTCTTGGAAGGAATTATTAGTAAGCAGAAATTCGCCCATGTATCTGTTATCACTCGTCACTTCAGTCAGTTATATAGAGGGATGCCTTGTGCTTTCCTTTGGCGTTCGTCACTTCCGATTCAGGAAACCTGTATTACTCAGCTATCGTAGCAATGAGCTCTGTGTTAAAATTATATTTGGAACGTGTTTAATTAGTTCTATCACATATGTGATAATGACTGACACCAATATTGTTCTTTAACAACCCATTCAATATAGGGTTAAAGATATGTGACTTCACCCAAATTATGTACGGTAATGCATTTTACAACATGTTTTATTGAGCATCCAGAGTTGTTTTCAATTTGTTATTATTCTATCGTGTTCTTGTTATTTGGCGGCCAGTTAATTTGTGTTCTTTTATGCTCTGAATAATCAGGTCTGAACTGGCAGCAAACTGTGTAACATTACTATCTTGAAATGAAATTGGATTTTAAAACGTCCTATTGTTCTGCACCGACTGCGTTAATGAAGACGGACATGCGCCAGGCAGGATACAAGGAGGTTAGCGAGTCAGCCTCTTACTCGGCTCCCAATAATATTGATATAGGATTGTGTCCCACAGCAGTGGTGCACGATAGTATTCCATCGGTGATTAGCTGCCGCGACACGGGGTAGTTTCACATTCTCTTTTTGACTGCCGTTGAAAGGCTGCCATGACATAGTAACTGGTGGCCAGTTTTTTCCTTAGTCTAGTATCATAGACTGGTTTAGGTGTAGGCCAGATGTATAGCTGTGATATATAAATAAACATTTGTGTAACTAAAATCAATATAAAATCAGCATAGGAAGGGTTACATGTATAATTAAGACCTGGATACATCTGTAATAAAAGACTATATGATAATATATGCTGTCAGCTTAGACTAGGTTAGTATTCTAGTTTCATGATATAACTCAAGACAACATGGTTTAAGAATAGACTGGTGTACATGTATAAGAATGGCTACCTAAAGATTAGAGTCTGGGCATAAACTTGGATACATGGTTTATAGCTACATATAGTATAGCAAAAGAATGGGATAGATGTAAAATAACATCACACCATATCATGGGACAAATGCAATATAATTGGATACATGCAGTATAACTACTCACAGTATAACCATATAATGGGACACGTGTATACTAACTACACACGGTATATTATTGGGTAATGTATAATAACTACATACGGTATAACAATAAAATGGATTACATGTATAATAACTATACATAGTGTAACCATATAATTAGCAGGATCGTTTTTATCAACATTTCAGTTATCCAAAATTTTGTCAATTTTTTATGAAATCAATTTAATTTTGGATATGTAATATGTGCATGTCTATAACGTATGGTTCCTGGTCGGTCACTTTTTGAAATACTTTGAGCAATATTGACAAACTGCTTTCGGTTCTTGTCGGTATTTGACCCAGTCGGAGCAGGACAGTCGGACGTTACACCTCATTTCATTTTATTTCTTGGGACCCACCGAGACTGCACTGTGTATACGAGCGTAACTATAGATTATGGTAGCCTATTACTAAAGACTAGAGTATTACATGTTCTATGGAATGTACCAGTTTCTGTGAGGAATATAAGTATGCAGAATGCTTAAGTTGGGAGGGGGAGAGACTACATTCTCGAGCGAGCAAGACGGTTTTTTTTTTTTGGTTTTTTTTTTGTGTAAAATTGCTAAAACCCCTGCTTATCTTCTGTCAGTAAATGTATATACTTATTTTGTCATCTCTGTGATAAACCATGGTTTTATCTTATCAAAATAGAACATATGGCACATTAATATAAATCTTTGAAATCGTTAAAATTTTATTGAGTTTAACAAGGAGTTACTGGAGGCAAGATGTGGATTTTAAAAGCATCCTTAGTTTTTGTGATGGTTTTATCCGTCTTTGCAGCTACACCATGCTGTATAGATCGCGAATTTGAAGCCGATACAGGTGTGATTGGCAGTTCCATCAGAAAAGACATATTTCATCCTATCGAGGTAATGTTGCTTTAACATGTAAACCGAGCATATAACATTCTAGCCGCCGTTATCGACCTTGAATCTTCTGTAATAAACAGAATGGTGTAAATATGAAACATGACATATGGCGCGATATGTAGTCACTTTCCAGGTTCTGGAATACTAAGTGTATTCAATATTATTTATTTCCAGGGCTTCAACACGATGTCTTACGATTCACATAACAAAATGGTTAATATGCAAATAACCGTCGTTGTCAATGGAAATCTGGTTCAGAATAAAATCTTAATGAACTACAACACGGTAAGTTACATGTGATCAGTGATCAATTTAATGTGATTGAGTATAAACAAAAACAGTATCTCAATGGTACAGAGCTGAGGGCCTGGTCATCCTCGGTATCCCCAGTGTACTCATTCCGTTCTACTCCACTATACCCTGGGATAATCCATAGGGTTTCCACGATTTCAAATTATCTGCCCTGGCCTTGATTGTAGCTAAAATCTACGAACCAATGACAAAACAGTTTACAAACCAGTCGTTTCGAGTTCGTTTTTATAAGGGTAGATAACCATATTCATGTCCATTTACTGAATGATATATGTAGATAAAGTATATATTTCTAATTCATTTATATTTAAATGTATTATCAAAATCAGTAGTATGTTTCGCTGATCCCAAATATTTATAACATTAATATGTTTGATTTTTGTTATTATTTTACTATTCGGTCTTTGTCTGAAATATTGAACTTGTACTTGGCAATTTAATTCTCAATAAAACTGCCCGGTTTATCATTAATATGTTATAAAATAATTGTAATTTGTTGTTAATGATTACTCATTTAGTATAATTTGGACTTCTCTCATTTAGGCTACCTCTCGAAGGGGAGTCTTGGCGTTTTGCTTACTTTACCCGATGAGAGTTACTTGCCTTTGCCAATTTCCTTTGCAGTTAACGATTTATGGGATTGGTCGATAAAAATAGCACAATCATAAAGGGCGGATAACTTGAAATCGCCCCCCCCCACCCAGATTAACTCAGGGGTTAGTGGAGTAGAACGGGATGAGACGGTATTGGGGATTCCGGGGATGTGGGCCTGGTAAGAACATGCGCCTATGGGGCCGGGTGGGACATGAAACTGAGGTTGAGTTTACATATTCGAAGAAGAGCAGGCGCAACAGTTTTTTGCCTACTAAAATACTCATTATAGTCTCCGATTACACTACCCCCGTTGAGTGAACACATATTTAAGGTATTTAAATCTTGGTTAAACCCGAACATTATTTAAAACAGTAATATAATCACTCATTGTTATCAGCTATCCGAAATATGACTTAAGGATTTTTTTTTATCGAAAGCTACTTCAATGATAGCACGCACTTTAATGTTAAGTTAGATACTGTAAATGACATCTGGCTCGCTTTCTGAAATAGTAACCCTTCTTGAAAAGCTTTCTTGACAAAGGGATTAAAATATAGACACTTCTATTAAAAAAACACCCGTATTAACGACAGGTCATACATCTACAAAGTTCGTGTATTTATACACCTATATATGTAATGTATATATAATGTATTTATTTAATCTACAGAAACGAGAATACCTGATTAGAAATGGTCAATGTACCGTGTATGAGCTAAATACTGCAATGAGAGACCCCTGTATTCCAGGTAGCAATATGATTTTACAGTAGTACACTGCATTGCATGTCGTGTGTTCGTCGGGTCGAATTGGAGACGAGCAACCGCTTCATGCCTGGATTTTTCCGGCGTGGTTTTCCCCTTGTCAGTGATGCAGGACGGAGGGCCTGACAAGGACAGCTGTCTAGTTGTTCGGATGGGACGAAAAACCGAGGTCCTGTGTGCACATTGGCATGCACGTGAAGGATTCCTTGACTGTTTTGACTGTGGAATTCGATATAAGAGTAGGCCGTAGTGCCGCTGTCCGGGCAAAATTTCCCTCTTAGCACATTGTATGGAGTATGCCCGTCTTCATTAGCCCAGTTCGGAGCAGAACAGTAGGACGTTAAACCCCATTTCATTTCATTTCGTGCCTGGATAAATCTATTTATAGCGGAATGACAACTTCCCGATTTACTATGCAAAAATCCTAAAAAGAAAAACCTTCCTTTGGTGATCATTTTCAAACGGACTCGATATTTTGAGCTGAACCATGATGGCATTTGTTTGGCAGAAAACGATTTTTTGTCGGGGATCCCGTGATTTCTCATTAAACGTATTATATATTACTTTTATATAACCCGTGTAACTATACATTCAATTGGGCCATTTAATATCTGATCGGTTTGGTCTCTTAGCTACAAGCTGATGTTACAGTGTGATGTCGTGCACTGAAAAGTAAATGACTGATATTTCCGTAACAACCTGATGCAGCTTGTTGCTCGTCTTATCTGGGAGAGAGATATATCTCATAGCATTTTCAGTCACCTGAGAGTTAAGCATTTATCTCAATATTCCTTTCTGTTTCTAGTACTTTGTTTTGTTTATGTCGCTACGAAGGGCTTTGTCAACCACGTTGACATTTTGGAGTGTCTGATGCTGCTGTCTATTCAAAATGTTTATGTAACGTTGGCAGTATGAAATGTTTACATAAGTGAAATTTTTATGTAAGGTTGTACGAAATGTAGCCAACATTATTGTAATTAAGAGGTAAATAAAGACAAACATTAATAATCAGCATTTATATTACATTCACATTATTAAAGGTAGGGAAAGAACAGTAGGACGTTAAACCCCATTTCATTTCATTTCACATTGTTAAACTGTTTATTGTCATAATGGTCATATTACTACTATTATCATAATGTTTATATCAATGTGATATTATTGAAATGTTTATATCAATGTGATATTATTGAAAATGTGATAATGTGATATTCTTAAAATGTTTATACTAATGTGACATTATTTAAATGTTTATATTCTAGCTAACGCCACTTATCTAAGATCACCAATATACGGATATGGAAGCAACACATTAGAAGCTGTTACATGGGAATATTTTTCACCGGCTACTGGTGCCTTCGATAGACTCTCTGTTACTAAAGATTCTTGTGTCCCCCTTGTTTTAGCTCAATATAATCCCCACCCACCCTTCTCAGGTAATCTTCTCATCCTGAAAAATGATACTATTTGCTTTCCAAATGGTTTGTTAGATTTTCTGTTACTAAAGATCCGTGTATCGCGCTTGTATTAGATCAATATAATCCCCATCCGCCACTATCAGGTAATCATTAAAATTGATAGTAAAAAATATTCAACAAAACCCCATAACTGAAACTCCATCCTCCACATATAATTTTATAACATAATTATGTTTTTCACAATGAGCAGCTTACTACAATATTCCCGCATGGAATGCAGAAGTATAACGCCACTGAACGTTGTTTGCATTTATCTTCCTAATGCCCCCGTCACACCGGGGTGGCGTTCTTAATGCGATGCTGCTACCGTAATGCGACCAGAAAATACACAAGGTCGCCGGCAAATGTGAACACAACGCGGGAAAATGTTCCCATAAATTAAAAACTTGAAAAAAGTCGAGTTCTCACAGTTTTCCAGGCCAGATCACAGAACCTTGGCGTTTGCTTTGAACATGCCCAAAACAAACGCCGTGACTCGGCGATCATTGGCGTTCATGGAGACCACAGCACGGTATTTGGCGTTTCCACCACGCTTTTACGATGCATATGGCGATGTTGACGCGCTCTGAGACCATTTTCCGTCACCGTAGCAGCACAGTAAGGACGTCACCCAGGTCTGACGGGGGTATTACCAATTGGTTGACAATCCGTTTGTTACGCCGAAATTCACCTGGTAATATTAAGATAGGTCGAGGCACAATGTTTTACGAAATATCGTGCAGATCTTGTTATTTTGATTATATTGACTATTATTGGGCTTAATTATATTTTGTTTAGATAATACGACCCAGACAGATCTAGTTCTTATATACAGCAATTTCCGTATTGGTATCAAAGATAGAAAAGTGTTCAGTGTACCCGACTCATGTGCTAATCAACCAGTTCAGGTAAAAGATTATAGTCCCTTTCTTTGTGAGAATGGATGATTTTAGCTGCTAATAAATTCAAATTAATATGGGAACAAATGTATCTCGTAAATTCTATATATATACTCTTCAAAAAAAAGAAACGCGCAATGACATTTCGTCGTCGGTATACCCTCGCTCTACCATTGCCTCGTTGCAACAGGAACCGCATGTTCTTGAAGCAACGACCGCGAGTTTTACAACATCTATTCGTTGCTTCAATACTCAACAATTCCCTAATTTTTGTGCTCGTTGTGTTTACACGTGACTAATTAGCATTGTCCAATCAGAAGTCGTGGCACATAACACAATGTAAACACAAATGGCGGCCTCCATAGAAAAAGAAATAGACAAGTTTACAGCCTTTGTTGATCAACCATGATTTCACGCAATCTTGACATTGATCGAACCTTGAACTTTGCAACTCGATTGTCACATGTAAACATTTTAGCTAGAAGTGCGAGACTTGATAATCGTAACCATATTTTTGACGAAGGAATCTGATAGGATCGCAAACTGGGCTTATACCCAATCGAAATTAGTGCTAAAATATGCGGCATATTATGTGAAGGGCTTGATAAGATGTACGTAGTTAAGGCGAGATCAAGTCTTCTATCGAAGATGCAGGAACCGCGACTCGTCGCTGAACCAAACTGTTCTCCAGCGTTGCTATAGCCATACCATGTGTGTCTGAACCAACTGAAGTCGAATATGTCGGTGTCGGCGTATTTCAAAGCAACAGCTCTAACGGGACGTCTGGCTCGTAATCCTGTTTCACGTAGGCGTCTATGGACTGTCTAGTATGAGATCCTACGCCGTCTAAGAATTAATGCTGCAGTAGATGTCGCTGTTGTGCGCCGTTTCCGCAAATGACGTAACCGGATGTGACGATCCAGGGCAGGTGGGGTCACACTAATTTGTCTTGAGTTTGTGCGATCACATGTTGAACTTCGCTGTCGGTACCTATACTCTGGGAAACATTCAACGGCCTGGCTACATCTGCCTGGGATTCACTTGCTTGTAACTGACCTATAACGTTGTTTCGTTGGTATTCGTTCAGATTTGGGTTTCATGTGAAAAGCTTGTGATGTTGTTAAACTCATGTGTCTTGGAGCAATCAAGCGAAAATAAATTTCGGCAAAAAGTATGACCTGTCACAATTAGTGACCCTACATTTAAAACCAATAATGAATTTTTTCTATCCTAAGATTTATGGAAACAAAGATTCCGTTCAAATAAAAAAAATGATGAAAAATGGGCTGTGGGTTTCTTTTTCTTAAGAGTATATTAATTTGCTGGGTCAGAATAAAGGGGCAGTTTTGTGACTGGAACGCTTTGGGGTCGACTCTTTACGTGAACTGACGGGAAAGTGTGTTCGTAGGGAGGGAATATTTTTAAGTGTTTGAACGGGTGGAAAAACCGAGGCCAACTGCTATACAGACCCGAGATGTTATGACCCACAAAACTTTTAATAATTAGCCATAACTTGTATATGGAAATATAATAGTCTTGTCTCTAATTGGATCAGTGGTATTGCGAAATTCAGAGGTCACTGTCTCTTTTTTTGAGATAACTCAACCTGATAATCTTCCGGTCCATAATTATATGCTCCCCTTAGTCCAAGTCGAAATATGGGAGACTCTTTGTATAATATTCAACTATGATCGACTAGCAATGAAATGATCTACGCAGTTTCAATCGCATTTCACAGCAAGAGCAACGGGCATCCATAGATAAAAAAAAGACCCTTAAAGGAAATGACCTCAGATTTAAATAAAAAAAAATCAAAATTCCGATTTAATTAAAGTTGATTTTTTTTTTTGCGAAATGGATATCTGTCCATATTCCAAACGAAAATTGTATCATACACTTCGTCTCCCATCAATATGAGACCAGAATACTTCACTATTTTAATTGAATTTAATCTAAGAGCTTTAGTTCTTTTAAATAAATCTCAAAATCCACGACTGGATTCCCAAGTTTATTCCCGTCAATTTTAATAAATCTCAAAATCTAGGACTGAATGCCCAAGTTTATTCACGTCAATTCAATTTACACGAATGTATTTGTGGAGGGGCTCGTTTGTGAAAAAAAAATAATAATATTTTCTTTTATGTCTGTACTTGATGTTTTTTTTTATTATTTTCAGAAACCTGTTGGCACTCCAATTTTTTGAGTAGTAGACGATATTATCAGATTGATATTTATGAATTAAAAATATTAACCTACATTTGACAATAACCTGTGTTTTATTAATCGCCATTTAAAACAATTTTCGAAAAGTGCACCAGGCTGAATATTTAATGATACTTTAACTCACCCAAGTACGGTAATGCATATGACAACATGTTTTATTGGACACCCAGAGTTGTTCTCAATTTGTTATTATTCTATCGTGTTGTCAATTAAATAAGGAACACAACTATACTTGCAAGTGTGTTTCCTTGTTTTAGTTATTCGGAACGCGTAACTGGAGGCCAATTAGCTTGTCGCGTCTTATGCTTTGAAAAATCAAGTCTGAACTGGTAGCCTATTGTGTAACATTACTTTCTTGTTAATCCAGCTCACGGCACCAAATAGGATTTGTAGACACGAATGTGTCAGAGTACTAATGTACTAATATGTCCCAATGTACTAATATGGAAACTGGTTTTCCATTCTTCTAGGAATTAGCTGACAGGGGAGGGATTCTCTGCAATTCCGGCCTGCGAATAAAGCAACAAGAAATTAGTTCAAAAAAGCCCCCCCCCCCCCCCATGCCTTGTGTGTGTACATGTATAATTATAGTCTAGGAATAAACCGTAAAGCGGTCCTACGGTTCACCAAAACGAGCTTTTTCTGTCAATATCGCCCAAAGAATTGCAAAAAGGTCACCAACAAGGATAGATATGTTCAAAATGATTTCATTAAAAATTGCATATGTATGTTGTTATTTGCGAACCTCTAAGATAAAGCATACTTTTATCTTATCAAAATAGAATATATAACACATTAATATTACTCTTTAAAGTCGTCAAAATTTTACTCAGTTTAACAAGAAGTTACTGGAGGCAAGATGTGGATTTTAAAAACATCTTTAGCCTTTGTGATGGTTTTATCGGTCTATGCAGCTACACCATGCTGTATAGATCGTGAATTTGAAGCTGTTACAGGTGTGATTGGCAGTTCCATCAGAAAAGACGTATTTCATCCTGTTGAGGTATTGTTGTTTTAAAATGTTAACCCGTCACATAACGTTCTAGCCGCCATTACCGACATTGAATCATCTGAGATTAACGGTGTGGCGTATTCAAGAAACATGACCCTTAACGCCATATGTAATCATGTACATTCCATATAGGTCCTAGAATGGTATGTGCATTATATTATTCCCATCTAATGAACCTTTTATATTTGTCCGAGAAAGTTGATAGGGATTTTCCAGCGTGGTTCCCTCTTATCAGTAGGCCTGGCAAGGAACAACTTATACTCGTTCGGATGAGGTGTGCACGTAAAAGAACCCTTGACGGTTGAATTTAAAATAAGAGTAGGTTATAGCGCCCGCTGTCCAGACAAAATTTCCCTTACAGCACATGACATGGCGTATGGCCGTCTTTATTAGCTCAGTAGGAGCATAATAGTAGGACCTTAAAACCCATTTCATTTTATTTTTAAATTTTCACTTTGATCCGCAAAGCAGTTAACATATTTTTAAATTATTTGTTTCAAGGGCGTCAATACGCTGTCTTACGATTATCATAACAAAATGGTTAATATGCAAGTAAATGTCGTTGTCAATAATGGAAATCTTTATCGGAATAATATCTTAATGGACTACAACACTGTAAGTTACATGTGATCAGTGATCAATTTAATGTGATCGAGTAAAAATAAAAAAGTGTCTCGGTTGAACAGAGCGGAGGGCCTGGTAAAAAAAAACTTATCTAAGGGCTCGGGTGGGACATGAAACTGGGGTCCTGTCTACACATTCGATGAAGAGCACCACTTTATTTATTGCAGTTTTGTCATCTAAACTATTCATTATAGTCCCGATCCGATTAAACTACCCCCATTGAGTGACTAAATATTTAAGGTATTTAACATTGGTTAAACCCAAACATTATTGAAAACGGTAATGTAAGCTATCCAGAATATAAGGATTTGTTTATCAAAGCTATTTCAATGATAGCACACTTTTTAATTATTTTCTTTACTATAAATGCCATCTGGTTCGCTTTCTGAAATTGTAATCTTTCTCTTGATAATCCAGTCAGAGATCCTTGTATTCCAGCAGGTAGCTATATGATTTGACAATATTAAAGTTAATATCTTATCATATTTAAGCAAAAATATTAATGGAAGGGATCTATAACCTTTTGTTCTCGTCCCAAGAACTGTCCGAAACTCTGCATGTCATACGTTTGTCAAGTCGAATTGGAGACGAGCAACAATTTTTTTCAGATAGGATTTGAGGCTAAAGGTCTAACAAATATTTAAACTAAAGCATAGCATCTACAGATATAATTATTTTTCTCACTAAAATAAATATGGCCAAAACTAAATAATACTGTAATGGGAGTGACAATATTGTAATGAAGATAAAAAAATTAAAATGGAGTTTAATGTGTCTTACTGTTCTGCACCAACCCGTATAATGAAGATGCCTTCTTTCAATTCACATATTTGTTAGGAATTTAGCCCCAAATCTAATCTGAACTCAATCTGATTAAAACACAGATCCTATTTCGTTTCGTTTTTATAGTTCAAAATTACTTGTCTTTACTACACTAGGATCCGGAAAAGTTGTTATCATTGACGTATTCTGAAGGAAATATCTAATGAAACGGTCTGTTACGGCGAGCTTTAGGCATGCTTTGCACGGAACTGTGGGTAATCCACTAGCAACATCAATGCTAATTGGTTAATCAAATGTCTGACGTCATAAGGTCAAAAGTTGCTCGTATGACCTCTGACGCGACCTATCGCTACAACTGATCAAGTCTTCATGTAGTGTAGGCCATCGAAAGTATAAAAAAACGAAACGAAATATAGATCTGTATTTTAATCAGATTGATTTGAACTAAAAGTTTACAGATATATTAGTATAAATACTGTTTTGGGAGAACATTGAATGCCCCCCCCCCCTCTCAGATTCGTGGAACCGACCATTTTTCGGGCAATGTATTTCATTTTTTTCAGTTTTTCTGGCACAAGCATCAGAGATTTGAGAATGCGACCATATCTCATGGAAATATTGTATAATTGTGTAATTAATTAAAAATAAACAACCAACACAGCTTTGTGGAAAATTCATTATTAATTAGTTAATGATTAATTCATTCAGAAAATCTGGGTGACAAAGAAATTTTTCGTGCAAATAGTCTCCCCCCCCCCCGCTAGCCCCAACTCCTAACTCCCAACTGAGATTGTCCCCCTATACCCATGCAGCTCCGTACCTGTTGTTCAATCCGATTCAGTTTGTTGAATCAAATATTGTTTAAACTATTGTTTTCCCTCCCATCCGAACGACTGGGTATTATCCTTCCAGCCCACCCCCATCCCGTACCACTGACAGGAGGAAACCGCAACGAAGTTTTCTTGTACATGTACATATCTAAACTGTGTAATTGTAGTAAATGTGAAAATGAAACAAAAAGACTGTTAAAGAAACCGAATTTGATGTTTATACATGTAGTGACAGTGATGATGATAACGACTAACTTTGATGACATTTAAAGCGAAGAGTAACTTTGATTAATTGTTTTACTTCAATAAATAGTTAGTTTTGTCTTATATCTATATTTGTTAGCACATTACACAATTATAGATACGGTTTCAGCTTAAATGTGTGTAATTCTGCCTTAAATATCTGAAGTAGAGGTTTACAGCTACCTGTAGTAAAAGTAATGTAGGGCCTAATTGAAAGGCTATGTGGGTATGGGTTTATATTTAGTGATTTCAATACCATTTACAATACTACGGATAGAGTCTGGTCTCCATTACTTCATAGACATATTGCTCAACCAATGTCAAACATATATCCTTTCTCATCAGACTAGGCGCTCCGTCCATAATTTCTGGGTAAACACCCGCTCACCAACCCTTGCAGTCCCCTGGGGCCCCATTAACGATATAAATATTGAGCTTTTTTGCTCACACATGTTCTTGTGCGTCATACAGCATCAACAGTCAACACGCACAGGAAATACTTTTATCAATTGCAGACATTTGACAGACAGGGAGATAACCCTCTATTACCGTTATTGGATTTCCAAAATTCTGTATGTTCCCTTGTCCATTATATTTTCTGCATTTTGGTTAAAATCAAAATTAAACCAATAGTATATTGATGACATTGGGTGTTTTCGCCAATATTTAATTCTATGTCAACAAAACAATGTTTAGTATAAATATAGCATTTACTTGAAAATTATAACAATTTTTATTTTGCCCTTAATCGAGCTAATGCAAACATTTTGCTTGGAACTCTCTGGATTTGTGTTCCTGGTGTTATACGCTTTCCAAAAATGTATAGTTTGTTTATTAGGGAGGACCTTGTAGCGGAATTGTGTTTTTAAGCAAGCTAATAATAGAATAACTTCCCGATGTACTAAACATAAAAATTCCTTTTGTGATCATTTCCAAACGGGCTCAATATTTTGAGCATAACAATTCATTTGCGGCAAGGCTATATATTTACATGATCACATTTGTTTTGCAGAAAACGATCTTTTTGTCGGGGACCCCGTGACTTCTCATTAAACGTATTATATATTACTTTTATATTACCCGTGTAACTAACTATACATTCATTTTGGCCGTTAAATATCTAACTGGTTGGACCCCATAGCTACAAGTTGTGATGTCGTGCACTAAAAAGTACATGATAAATATGCCTGGAACAACCTTGTTACCCGTTTTATCTGGTGAGAGAGAGAGAGAGAGAGAGAGAGAGAAATGGGGTTTAACGTCCACTCGACACAAACTAGGTCATTTCGGGACTAACGTATGGTTTAATTTTATTTCTATAATTCGCTTGCGCGTAGGGGTCTTTAGCGGTGGGAGGAAGGACCCGGAGAAAACCCACGAGGTTGGACAGGCGACCCTACTCCTTGTCACGTACAACCGGGGAATCGAAACCCCGCCAGTTGACTCAATGACAGAACGTATGATACAGCGCGCGCGTGCTAACCATTCAGCCATCCACCCCCCACCCCCCGTTTTATCTGGTAGAAAGATATCTCATAGCA